ATCGAACTATGTTCAAGTTATTGGATCAAAATCTCACCGAGTTTGGTCCATTTGAAAAGTTCTATCAAAATTTGATAAATAGGGTGTGTATGAAGCAAAGTTGACATTGTGTCCCTTTCAATGAAAATAGAACTTTGAACAAATAACAATAATTAACTGAAATGTAATGACAAAAGTGAATCACAGCAAAATACTGGCCATGTTCATGATGATACAACTGGGCCCTTCTTCAAATATTGTTCACTGCACGATTGGATTAATTTCCCTCCTCCTCAATCTTACGAACTCTCTAACAATGCTGGTTTGAAGGTCCTCAATATTTTGATATTCCCTCTGTCCATAAACTCTATTTTTCAGTGTACCCCATGAGAATATATCCATAACATTTAAGTCTAGAGACCTTGCTGGCCACCTCACCGGCCCATTATTCCCTATCCATTTATCACCAAACCTTTCAGTCTGGTATTTAGAAACTCGTCTGGTAGTGTGCGGTGGAGCACCATCATGTTGGAACCAGATGTTATAGATAGCCAAATGTAGATCATCCAAATAGTCGTCAAAAATCGACATTAAAAACTGGTGATGGGTTTCTCCATTCAGAATTTCGTCAAATAAATGAGGACCCAAAATTCTATCTCTGTGAATTCCTGCCCACACGTTATTACTAAATCGCACTTGAGGTCGAATATCTTGGAACTGCCCGGGGTTGTTTATGCTCCAAATGTGTTCGTTATTTCGGTTGAATATCCCACAATTCGTAAAAGTGCTTTCATCTGTCCAAATTACATTTTCCAGGGTTCATGTTTATCTGCAAATTATTAATTTTTATTGAAAAGGACAAATCAAATCAAATCACTTTATCAATTCTGTAGAACTTAGGTACAAAGTTATAGGATAGGTCAAATAGCATTTTGAACATACATAAAATAATACTTGAAGTAAAATTAAACCAAACATACACGAAAGATTGTCATATGCATACAATGATGGACAAACCATATCAACTTCATTCACCACCAGCTTTATTAAATTAATGTGATAGAGAAATAAAATTAGGGAAGATTGAGAAACTCATCTATGATATAAAAATTATGTTCTAATAAAAACCTTTTAAGGGTGGTCTTTCTATCGTATGTGTAATAAATTTGCATCATATCTCTTTTTTCTTCATTCGTGAAAGCCGTTTTTCGCCAAAAATTCAATGACTTGTACAATAACAAAATGTCATCGAGTGTAACAAATGGAAAGTCAAATTTAGAAACATCAAAGTCAAAGCCTATTGTAAAAAAACGATAAAACTAAAAACAACAACAAAAATTAATTGGCGCTCCGGGGCGACTTCATTGATTCCAGTGGCGCATTTGCTTTTTCAGCTGCAGGAAAACCCGGAAAAACCTGCAGCACCACATCGTCTGAAGATCTTGATCTGCCAATGTCCTCTCTCTCATAAAATAAAATGTAGGGTGTCTCCAAAGGCTCCAATAGATTCAATAGATTATGATAAGAATTATTTTTTTCAATATCTCCAATTTTTCGAAAAAGAATGATAACTTATGATACATCATTGAAAAGGTAAAATCTGGTTCTATTCAAAACAGAAATAGTCCAATGTAGCGCCTATAAGAAAAAATAAAGTTGATGATGGTGTCCGGAAGACGAAACATCGGATTGCAAACTTGAAAACATCATTTTGTATCAGGGAAAAAGTGACAACGTGGAAGTGCAATTTATTTTCGAATCTTTTGAAAAATAAAGCCAGAAAAAAAATCTATTTTCCGAAATTTCTGTTTTTTCCGTATATTTCCGGTTATACTCTTGATTTGAGAACTTTCTCAACGGCATATTGTTCGTCAGGTAAATGTGCAACTTTGTCCCAATTTAACTATATTCGCATCTCTCATAGTTTCCGAGATCCCAATGGTGAGGATCGAATTTGAAATAACCTGTATGTAAAAAACAAACGAACCACAAGAACTGTCCGCTCACTCGAATTGCATTCATAATTAGTAAATAATTGATTGACTTCCCTCTTTAGATCGTTTTCAAACGGTACAGGGTGGACAAATGTCCGCACCTAGATGCTAGTTTGTAAACAGTGCGGGTGAGAATCATACCTAGGAGTTTTTCCTGCGCCCGCATGCTCCTAAACATTAATGTTTTTTATTTGTTTCTACTGAAAATCTACAACTAGTGCACATATACGTTATGTATATTTTTTATTTAAATTTTCCACCATGCTTTGTCAATAAGAACACTTCCTGAGTTCCTCAATTTTTTTCTGCTACAATTCATATCGATCAATAAATAAACAACATTATCAAAACTTGTTGCACTCTTATTCTTGTTCTTTAATAGTTATAAAAATTTCAAATTAACAATTGACATTGCCGGAAACGTCTTTTTTGGTCAGTGAACAGGATGCTTCTGGCAATAATTTTACAGTTGATACCAAGCTTGATGCACTGCTGGCAGTAATATCACTTTGTTTTTTGCAGTAGGTACTCAATTTTCATAGCGACTGAGTCTTCATGTAGAATCTAGCGATTGAAGATGGAAGTTTTAGGATACCTGAAGTGTTTCTAGGAAAGCAGCAGGGAAAATGCAGAAGCAGCAAGCAATTTGTATCATGAGAGGTATCCAGAGAGAAGACAACCTTTTAGATACATGTTCACAAGATTGCGACACAACCTAATTGATGGTGGTCAACTTGAAAAAAAGGCCAAAATTATATGAATCTAATATAAGGAGTGGAAGAAATATTCGTTTTAGAAGCTGTTGAAAATAATCCCAGAACGTTAACGCAAAATTTGAAAATATCAACAGTCCTACCAGAAATTAACGTTAGTAGGATTTTGAAGGAACACAACTTCAAGCCATACAGGACCCGAAGAGTTCATCAACTCAGACTAGGAGATTTTGAATGCCTCATGGCTTTTTGCCAGTGTTTCCTAGAAAGTTGCAACCAAGTGCATGATTTTTCGTTAGATTGTATTTGGACAGACGAAGCTTATGTGAGCTGTGTCGGTATTTTCAACCGTTACAATTCTTATACTTGGGAACAATAAAATCCTCATTCCATTGTGGAGCAGAGAAGGCAAAGAAGATTTGGATTTAATGTGTGGCAGGTGTCTTCATGGGTAAAATTACGGCCCATTCATTTATAATGACACTCTCACATCTCAGAGGTATTTAGAAATTTTCACGAAAAACATTGAACCCTTTGAACCACTAATGGAGCTCAGAAAAATATATTTTCAACAAGACGTGGCTTCGCCTCACAATTCTGCAATTGTCACTAATATTTTGGCTACAAACTTTGGTAATAATTGGACCCAAACCGTTGGCGTCTAGGTCACCGAACCTAACGCCTATGGACTTTCCCCTCTGGGGAAGGTTGAAAGATCTTATTGCGCCGACCAATTATAGATACGAATTGGAAGCGGCAGTGATGAAAAGTGTTGCTTCTCTCACTCCTATTGAACTAATTAATTCGGCAAAAAACGTTCAAAAAAATTGTCGCCGGTGTGTAAGAGAAGCTGGTAAACATTTCGAACACCTTCTCCGGAGAACTATATTTCATTGTTTGTTATTTATCGCTATTATTATTGTTGAAGTTTCATTTATTAGTAGTAGATATAATATAAATTGTCATCAGTGTTATTGAAACTATGCGTTTTAATTACTTCTGTGAGAAGTCTCAACATTTGATAGCTACTACTGAACATCTTTCTGTTTTATCGTCGCGTCGCAACGTCGTCCAACGCCTACTTGACCTTATAGCAAAACATCAATAGTTTTCCATCGATAACTATTGATATATCTCATTTGAAAAAAATAAGTTTTTTACACCATTGAATTCTATATGTAAAAAAGTGCTTTGGAAATATTTTCATAGAAACAAGAAATATTTGTCAGGAAAAAAGTTAAGCAACTTTTCGAAAATGCTCATGTTCGAAGAACATGCTGAAACTCAGAAACTATGATAGATATCGATATGCGGTTTTCACCATTAAGTTTGTCATAAAATTTTAATCCTAAGACACAGCCATCAGTTTTCAACTAGGTATATATTTTATTACTCTTTATTAGCAAATAATGCTCTTCATAGTACAGTCAGTCACTTATAAAATCCAAAACAATAAATATATATAAAGTTAGAGACAAGTCATTGTTGTTTGAAAACAGGAGTTTTCCTTTAAAATAGTCAAATTTGGCCCATTCTGTACATAGTAAGTTGAGAAATACATTTTTTATAACTATTATTTATGAGAATCTTGTTATGTGTGGGATGTTTTCAGAGCACAACAAATTTTCTAATGAATTCCAAATACATCAGAATCTTGCTCAGAGATTCAGAATGTAGGATCTTTCTTGGTTTTCGTTGCCAATAACTGTTTTATTACTGAATTTTCATTATATACGTCTTGTTACCTCTTCTTGTATTTTGTAGAGCTCATATTTGATGCTACAACCCAAAATTATTATCGATACAAAATTAGGCAAATGATAAGGTGCATTTCTGGAAAAGTATCTTTATAAGCTGATACTCCTGATCTGTAGCTTATTTTAGCAATGTATCAACTTATTTGGGCTCTAGAATTTTGGACTTCTTATGTTTATTACAGCTGTCGGTTAATTTTTTCATCCACATTTAATTTTTAACATTCCTTTATTAATAATCACACACTTTACTTTAAAACATCATAATGTTCATAAACGATTGAAATCTACTTCAATATCCAATAATAAAAACATAGTAATGATTGCCTTTCCGGCAATATATGCCAAACGCTTTTTTTGACTAGCCCATAGATTTTGCTTTAGCTTTCCCCACTTTGAATGCTTTATGGTCTTTTTCGTATATTGTTATGGGCTTTTCGCGCTAGTTATTGGGGAAAACCCGAAAAATTCCGGACACCCCATTATTTGCCATATACAATTTCGTTTCCTTTGCTAATCTATATTTTCTTCAGTTGACCTTGAAATTGACAGCGACAGCTGCCTCTGAAAAATAACAGTGACTATGACAGTGACCTAACCTATAATAAAAGAATAACAAAACTGAAATGTTTGATCTTATAAAAAGCAAATAATATACAAAAACGATATGGAATCTGTCAACGAAGGAAGATCTACTTGTAAATGTGACGAAAATCATGAAGATTTAATCAAATTCCTTTGTGTGAGTAAAGAATTGTCTTAAATAGAAATTAGGTGTGCTGGACACCTACAGAAGATACATATATTTGTCTATACAAGGAGTGGTTTTATTATTTTTAATAACTTGATTCTGTCATAGGGTAGGGTCGATGCCGTTTATTCGTTCAGAGACAGATACTTTGAGAACCACCAAATTGAGGAAGCCATAAATAAATCTGAAGAAATAAAAAAACTCCTTTCAGATACTCTAAGTGTTTTCAATGACCATGAACACCTGATAACTGATGACACTAGGGCAAAGTACAATTATCTCAAAGGAAAATTATTAAATGTTGTTCCTACATATGACAAAGATGCTGAAAATTTACTATCAAAGTCAATTAAGCTAGATCCTAAGCTTGTTGAGGCTTGGAATGAATTGGGAGAGTGTTATTGGAAGAATGATGAACTCAGAAAGGCAGTTAATTGTTTCGAGGGAGCCTTAAAAGAGGTTTGTTTTTTTGTTTTGTTTCCTTTTGGCATACTCATTATAATTGAAAAATAAACAGAATTAGAACTAAGTATATCAGAATCATTTAATGAATTATTGTTTGTGGATTAGAATCACAGAAAAAGACATTGTAATAGTATATAGGATCAATAGTCCTATATAGGCAGAAAATACTTAAGACAAAATTGTCATCAATTACATGTGCCACTCATTTCAGTATTCTATTTCAGGCAAAATATTATGTTTGCCCCCCTCTCCCAACCTAGGCATAAATGATGAAATGTCCACTAACCATTACCAGTAATTTTTCAATAGGATTTCAGCATCGGTTATTAGTTTATCAGAAGTTCAACCAAACAAAATAATGCTAAATTATTTAGGTTAAACTGTTTCTTATTTATTTTGATTTTGCATATAAGACCTCATGCAAATATTTTGATGCAACCTTTTGGTATTTTGTATGAATGATATATTATATATTATACATTTTCATACAAAAATTAAGAACTGTGTTTTCTAATTAGGCAGCTACAAAGAACAGTATTGTGGAAGTATTGAAACCGGCCTATTTTCCAGTTCCTATTAAAATATGGTCTGATGTTTCGGGGCAATTCAGCTCATATTAATAAATAATTTCTCATGCAGAGGAAAATGATTAGGTCCATGGTGGAACCTCATCCAACGACGCTCACTTCAAGCTTTTTGACCTTTCCAATACGTTTTAAACTATCAATGATGGGTCACTCTCCGCCAGGGTCCTCAAATCCTCGTTCTGGATTACTGTAGGTTGACCATTTCGGGGCTCACATAGGCTAAAATCTCCGGAATGAAATTTCGTAAACCAACGTCAAACATTGCATTCATCAACACTATCATTTGCAAATGCCTGGTTGATTTTTTGTGCTGTTTTGGCAGTGGTTTGGTTCAATTTGAATTTGAAGAGAAAAATTGTCCGAAAATCTCTCAACGATATCATACAAAAATAAGCTGTAAAGAGGCAAAAAAATCAAAATTTGGAAAAATTCCATGGCATCAATGTACAGATTTTAAAATCCTCTGTTGATCAGTATACACCATGACACGTTAGAATAAATGAATAATACTGGAATTCCATCCTAACACCAAACTGTTTTTAACACCTCAACACGTGTGTCAATCACCATCTTCAAGAGGACAATTAAACTTCCTTTTGAAGATGATCACTTGGTAATTACTACACCAAATGTTCCAAACACTGCATCACAAGTACGTAAAATTAATATTCAATGAGATATGGAGCTACAAAAACATGACATTATAACAAACAACACTTTTCAAACAATCTAATACTTGTATTTCACTGCTAATCCGGCCACCTTCCATTTCGTTTTAATCCACGCTCGGTAAAAGAGATATTATAATTTTTTAATTGTAGAGAATTTCCAAAGTTATTCTTTTTTAACATCAGGTTTGCAGTTCAGATTCCATTCACATAAAAGCTATAACTTGTCACATTTTGAAAGTCAAAGTGGTTGAAATTTTCAAGTGAATGTTTAGTCAATATAGGGTTTTTGTTTGCACCTACAAGAATAGTGCATCTATTTTTATGTGTAGCCTTATACACTTTTGTTTCATTTTGTCTATATTTGAATATTACTGGAGTTTAATCCCAACACCAAACTTATTTTCAACACTTCGACACATGTTTCAATCACCAAGTGATTATCTTCAAGAGGCAGATTAAACACAGGTTAATCTTCCTTTTTTAAACACCTTGACACGTATTTCAATCACCAAGACACGTTTTTCAATCACCAAGTGATCATCATCAAAAGGAAGATTAAACTCAGATTAATCTTCCTTCCAGGTGTTAAAAATAACGGTTTGGTATTGGGATTAAATTCCAGTAATATTCATTACTACACCAAAGGTTCCAAACGGTGCATCACAAATGGTCTATAGTTGACATCATTTGTAAAAAAAAGCATCTCTGTATGATAACTGTACTGTGATACTGAATGTGATAGTGTCATATCATTGAAATAAAGGAAAAACTAGTTTTCAGTAATTGTTAGGAAATAAGTTTTATATACTATATATATCCAACTAAACAAAAACCAGTAAGGAGAACAAAGCATTCATCAAATATGCAATTTACCTTCTGTATAATTATATATTTTCTCATTATATAGTTTTTCATTACATATTTTCTCATTATATATTATATGTTGAAGTTTTATAAATGGCATATTTATTTATGTTTTCAGAAACGGAATAAATACTCACTAAGAAATCTTTCGATGCTCGCTAGACAAGAAGAATCAAAAAATCGTGAAGAAAGGATAAAAAATATTGAGAAAGGACTAGATCATGCGAAAGAAGCTGTTCAACTTGATCCTCAAGATGGATTATCTTGGGCAATATTGGGCAATGCGCACCTCTCCTCTTTTTTTGGTATACAACAAAACCCCAGTATTCTCAAGAAGTGTTTAGGTGCTTATTGTCAGGCAGTAAGTTTAATTACATCACCCCATGAAAATAATTCCATTTATATTTGATCTAACATCTGATTCATATCAAAATCAACATAGGATAAAACCTGGCTATACCGTTGGATATTTTATGTATATTCTAAAACTGAACTAATGTTTTCACTCTTTATGATATTCTGGTATATCCACATTTCAACTTAATATAACTCAAAAGTTTCAGAAATGTCTTCTATTATGCGAACTATTTTTGACTGAACAATTTATGGGTTATTTGTTTCTGAATCACTTTTTTGCAATATAACTTGAAACACATGTTTCACCAAAAATATTAGTGATACCCTGTAAAACACGTGCTTTTTAAACAAGCACTCTATATAGAAGCTTCCACAAACTTGGGATTCAAAGTGGGATTTATGATTAGTAACACTCAAAAGAAATCATTTGTGTACTTTTAAAATTTTTGGATTGGCTCTGATCAGTCAACAATTTAGTAATATTTTTGATTTCAGGAGAAGGACTTTGTGGCTAAGAGTACTCCTGATTTGCACTATAATAAAGCAATAGTAAGTATTGGACATTTCGCTTTTGATTGAATCACTTTTTCATTTTCCATAGACTTTAAAATATGAGGAGGAATTTAAACTAGCTTTAGACTCATTCAAAGAAGCTTCATTGTATGATCCTACCTGGGAACCACCAAAAATCAAGGAGAAACAATTAGTTAAATACCTAAATGATATCAAGGAACTTGTGACCACTTCTGGAAAGATGAAGGCTAAAAGATTACACCAAATCCTTCAGGTAATGTTTCAAAATTACTGATTTTTATAAGAAAGTGACTCATTTTTAGTTAACTTCCTTTATTCAAGACACTACATAAATAGATCTTTGGCATATACTTCAACTGACACTAATAATAAACATGGTCCAGTAAGTTTGCAACAAATGTGATTGTTTTATGAATTGCACAAGCTGAATTTGAATTCTGCCAAAAGTTAGTACATCTTTCTTTGATAACCATACTAGATGCACTCAGAATTGGTTCAAGTCAAACAGTGTGCAAGAGGAAAAAAAAAAAAAATTCGTTCAAGGACGTTCAAAGAGTAGTTGTTCAGAAGTGAAAGTTACATTCAAATTCGAAGTCATGGCCTCTTATCAAAATTTTTATTTTTTTTTAAATTGAGTTACTTCTGTATGATATATTTTTTATTACTTGAATTATTATATATCCACTCAGCTACAAATGAATCACTACATAATTTTTCTCAAATGGGAGCCTGTTAGTAAAATTTACATGATTCATATTTGAAGTAAGAAATTTTCATTCCAAAACCTTATAAACATGCTTCAGATAAACAAACTTCAACAAGACATGTGATGGAATTGGCCGATACTTCGAGGACCATTGTCAAATTGACTCTCTTATTGACTTTTCCAAGGCCTATGATAAAATCAACTGTGAACTTTTAATTTCCAAAATGATGTCCCTGGATCATTTCTAAGTTGGTATATTAGATTCTTGAAGGACCGTTCTCAATCTGTTGGTATGTTAGATCCTTGAAGGACCGTTCTCAATCTGTAAAAGTAGCAGACTGCACCTCACATCTGATTAATATCGTATGGTGTTTCACAAAGATCAAACTATGGGTCTCTTCTGTTCAACCTTTTCACTAATGACTTATTACTTTGTATCAAGAACTCTCAACTCCCCTTTGCAAATTACCTTGAAATTGATTACCCTGTGAACTCCCTCCATGATGCTATATTCTTGCAGGAAGATGTTGATAACTCGGTTTAATGGAGTCAAATATCAATAAAATAATGTATGAATAATAAATGCTAAATCAAGTGATCTGAGGTCGAAAAAACAAGGAGGACAACTTTAATTGTCTTATTTACCTTCAGATTTTCTATACAGCCATTGAGCAAAGTTACTAATTGAATAAGCACAACATCTGTCAAATTGGAAAGTTCTTGCAATGTCATATCTGTCCGACTTGCGATGGATCACCACTATGAAATAATACTCTTGAAATTTCTAATCACGGTTTTACTCGCTCGCTATTCTATAAAGATTGAATCTTGTGTATCCACGACCAAGGTGACTTGGTCAGTATTATCAATTACTTAAACACGTTCCTAATTCTAACTTCGTTAATTGAAATATCCAAACTTCCACACTACAAGGTGTATAGAGTTTTCAATTAAGACTATAAATAACAATTTCTGGCAACTGAACATGCAGCCTATGATATTTCCTCGAAGCCGAAAATAAGTTGAAAGCAAATAGGCAGTAAACAATTTTTGAAAAAAATTCCACAAAAAGTGTAAGGGAAAATTCAACCGATATATTATCTCCTATCATCAGTGATGTGTTAGAAAATGTAAGGTCATTACTGGGTATGTCAGACCACCAACTAAGCTTCCAACACATCTACTTTCATGCAACTGGAAATAAAGAATTATTATTAACCTGATAATATAATCTGACATTGAAAATGCTATTGCATCTTGGAAAAAATCTCTTCAAGTCCTGTTATTGACAGTCTCAATAAATATCACAATATAAAATCCTACCTGAAAGACCGATTTCAAGCAGGTATTTATAACAAGTTCAGTTTCAGAGAAATAATATTTTTTGTATTATAGGGCTCGGTTTTGTGGGCACTGTTATTCAAACTTTATATAAAGGACTTCTCTGTATCTGTAGAGTAGGGAGGGTGAGTGTAAGCCCACGTACTTAGGCCACATGTGACCCATTGTACATCCTCCCGAGGAGTTGTCCTCCTAGGTCATCGTCCATCCTGTCCTTTCCAGGAAGGTGGACAGGTCGCTGGGAGACATCTCCTTTATATCGGCAGGTGTAGGCCAAGACTCGCCGAACACACTCTCTTATTGACGATAACTCAAGGCACTCGCAGAGGACATAACTGACAGTCTCATCTTCCTGTTCACACATCCTGCATAGATGTGTGTCCACTAAGCCCCATATTATGGAGGTGTTTCCTTAGTTGATAGTGACCAGTCAGAAATCCTACTGTAAGGCGTAGATTTTTCCTGGTCATCGCCAGATATTTCTTCGGTGCCAGCTTCCCAGGGTCGCCTAAGGTGATCCTGGCAAGATTACATCCTTTCATTTCATCCCATCTCTTTAAGGATTGAGTATGGGTGTAACATTTGACTACTTCCGCAATTGTCGAAGTCATCAGGCCGTGGGTGCCACTGGGTCCTAGACTTATGCAATGTCTATTCGGAAATATTTCATTTGCAGATGAAACCATCCTCATGTATTTTCATAAACATTATGACCCCAACATATAACTCACCCAGGAAGACAAAGATATCATCAGTTGTACTTTTGGATCTTTGAAAACCAAACTGTGAGCTACACAGTGTATTGTGTTAGCAAACTTTTTTTAGAAGCTTCTCTATCACTCTATCTATATTAGTGAAATGGGAAGAAAATTGTATAGCTCATCTAGTTCACCCCCTATAGCAGTTTTCAGCACATCCGGAAATACACGGCAGTTTTTCTAACAAATTTCCTGATATTTCATCGATTCCATGTGTTTTTTTATTTTTTATTTCCCTAAATGTTTCCTTAAGTTCTTCAATATTTGTATGTTCTAAGATAAATTCTTCCGAAATTCTTATGTTACTCAGGTAGTTTGAAGGGTTTTTTGTGGGTTATGAGATTAAGTTTTTTTGCTATTGTTCAATAGGCTATCTGGGTTGATGTCAATTTGCACTGGAAGCTTGTTTGTTTTGCCTCTCAGATTATTGAAAATAGCCCACTTCTCTTTAGGTTTATTGGACGCCTTGGAAAGTCTCTCATAATATTTCTTAATCATGTGTAGGGCCCTCATATTACTTGAAGAGGTTCTGATTCCTTTGGTTATCTGAGGCTTTTTTAATTTCCTTTTAATTGTTTTGCATAGGAAAACACTACGAAGATCTCCGTTAAAATATCAAGGAATACTCTTAGGATTATAACAGAGTTCAAAACAACTAGGCAATAACTTCATTGGCATTAAGTTGAAACTTGGAGTTGTTCTTTGTATAAAGCCTGCCATACTTCTGGCTCTCACCATTCCCAATATTTTTTATATCCTAGTAAAAAATGTGTGACAACAGCTTCATGATCCGAGAGTCAAACGGTGATAACGAGAGATTGAGTACCCTCTTCATTGAAATTAAGACAAACATAATCTATAACAGTAGCAGAGGATTTTGATATTCGAGTTTATTGTCTTGCGTGCATTGTCAGATTGAAAGAGCTCAATAAGAGTTTCAAAGATTGAGTGATTATATCTTCCTCTGTAACTTTACTTCCAAGTCACCCGCTACTGTTATTTTAGAATTTACAGATAAATTTGTGAGAATAGTCTCTAGATTTCTGAGGAAAATATTAAAGTGGGAATTTGGAGATCTGTATAAGCAAAGCATGTAAAAATTACATTCTTTATTGTGTACCAAAGACAGTTTAACATCTTGCTCTATAAGAAGAGTACCTATCATATTTTGAAACATTTTCTAGAACAAATGTATCTGCAAAATTTGTATTTATTAGGATCATAGTACATCCATGATTTGATTTGCTTCTGCAGAATTTTGCAGCTGTAATATAATCATCCAAATAATATAACAATAATCATATACTTCATTTTCATTAATGATAATAATACGTTTACTATTTACCACAAATCCCAGAACGATATTTAGTATCAATTCTTGAGAACTAGGCAAATAAAAGGTGAGAGTTCAGTTTTCAGTTTAGTTCAGTTTAGTTCGGTGGTCTTCCACTCAGACCCTTACTAAAATCTTAACTTAAAACTAAAATATAATTACTGTCTACTACAAAAGAACGAGAGGACGAGAGAAAAGCAAGAGAAAAAAAAAACAGAAAAGAGAGAGAGAGAAGATAGGAAACCTTTTTATATTTTCTTTTCACTTTACGAGGGCAGTGATTCCCTTAGGTCATGAAACCGCTAGGTTGCATGTCGACGCTGAGAGAATTTTATTTTGTTGTTCCGAGTTGGGAGATATTTTTAATTATTTTTCATTTCTGTAGTTCACGCAAATATTCAGTCATGAATTGTTTCAAAGGGAAACACGACTGACTGTAGTCGATTATCTTGAACGTATTCATGTAACTAACAAGTTTATATGAAAAACTGAGTTAGAAAATTTCCTTTCTATGTCGAGGAATGGTGATAAAAAAGTTTGTCGATTATTTATATCGTGTATGTTTTTTCTATATATGACTTTATCGTGGAGATAGTTGGGTTGCTTGTATTTCAAAAGTTGTATTTCAAAAGTAGCAAAGGATATGTAGTTCAACTTCTTTATTTTTATGGAAAATTCTCTGCCTGCTTTTTATGCCAAAAGTAAGTCTCAAACAGCAGTTCTGGATTTTCTGAATACGCTGACTATCCACACCATCTAGACATAGCCCATATACAATATCACAATAGTTGATTTGGAAAGCTCTAATAATTCATACAACAATTTTTTAACATCTTGGCCTAAATAGTGTCTATATGGATAAATCGTCTTCAAGCTACTGTAACTTATTTTCAACATAATATTAACCTGTTCTTTGAATCCCAATTTTTGATCTAGTATCAAACCCAAATTCTTTGCACTCTCATTAAAAGGTATTGTGTCATTTCCCATCCTCAGTACAAGATTATAAGATATATCATCCACTATATTGTCATTACAGAACAAAATAGCACACGACTTTTGAGGATTTATTTTGAGTAGATGTTTTATAGTTTGAGTAGATGTTTTATAAATTG